ATGCGACGCGACGGGCCTAGCTCGAGGTCCCGATGCCAGGTGTTTGGAAAGCATGATGTGCCCTTTGCGAAGCCCATCACGAGGAGGGGGGTCGCTGGATCATGTCAATGCCGCAGCTGACTTTTGGACAGCATGGCCCCGGGGTACTTTGTAATTTTGCCTACGTGTATTCCATGTCGTCAAACCTTCAATGTTTAGGTGATTATCAGAAACTGCTGGCCATCGACGACGACGGCCACCACCAGACAATCAGCGGCCACCGGGGGCAAAACCACCCGACAAGGTACCTACTGAGAGCCTGTCTCTCTCCCATCCATTCAACCAGTTGACATTTTTCCGGTGTGGTGGCACGGGAGCGGACACTTGGAACGCCGCCCGTTTTGGGGACACCACAACTTCCTCTCAAGTCCACGTGATGCGCGCAAGAGGTTCGACGATCCGTTTGGGTTCGCGCGGGGAAGGGCGAGGAGAAGAAGAAAAATCGCCGTCAGGTTCCTGAACCTGTATGTATGTATGTACTTACCCGCCGGGGCGGCTTGGGCATGTCATGCATAAGTTATTTGTGGCTACAGACAAAGTCCAGCTTCAGGTGTAATACAACATGGCACGCTGCATCATGGTGCCTTTTCATTCGTCCAGGCATCATCAGCATTGTGTCGCCAGGATAAAATGCCGCTCTCAGTGTTGGCATTCGTGCATGCCTTTTTTTTTTCTCTCTCTTTGGGCTCGGTTCGGTTTCTGGTTTTGTTGGTTTGCCACCATATCAAAGCATATTGTTATCAAAGCCCCAACCCTAATCGCTGATGATGTTCTAACTCAAAGCCCTCATTTGGACGCGACAAGTGCCACGGCCAAGCGGCCAGCCAAGTGGGCACATTGCTGCTGAGCTGCTTCGAGGCCGCGGTCTGGTGGATCTCCAAGGCGGCTCTCCGCAATTTAGATGCACGACCAGCATTCGTGCAGTAGGCGGCTTTTGACCTGCTTGTGGCGACGGAGTAGTATCAATACTCTGTGAAGACGGCGTATAATATTTCCAGGGCCGAACTGAATAGGAAACTTGAGGAACATCGATCCCCGACGCAACACACGTTTCTGTGAGATTGAGATGTGCGAGTTGATGCTGGATTTGCATATTCTCCATGGTGCACGAGTTGGACAACATTGAATGGTCGGCTGCTGTTGGTGGGCTTTTTGGCGAGGGGTAGGAACATGGAGCTAGAAGGCGGGGTACGGAGGCCTGGTGCTTTGCAACCGGCAAGCGTGGTGGGGGAATTAGACAAGGGGGTTATTCCCATCAATTGAACTACTAGTAGCACTATCGAAAAGACATGAAGCTTGGTGCTCGGCGGGCATGGGATCGAGGCAAAATCCGGGGATACAGCCATTCCGCAGGAATTACCAATGGCCGGTGCAGAGCGGTGTCACGGCCAGCGAGCTACCCGACGACAACATTGATATTCTCAGGTGCGCGTTTGCACCAGACCTCAGAGGAGGAACCCAATGTGCCTGGTGCTACTATCAATTGGCATCGAGCTTTCAAGAAGTTCAGAATCGAGTTGATGCAACATGACATGTTAAAACCCGCAAGATAAGCAAGACTACTACAGGCCGGCACGAACGAACCGAGCAGCCCGCCAAAAAAACAAAAGTGTCACCAAGCTTTTTATTTTCCTTTCGCAAATGTTCCCTGTCTTTTCCCTCATGGCCTCTTACACGCAGCGGGCCTTTGTGCGCGTAGCTCAGACGGGACCAAGCGCAAGTCGGCCGTCCCTAGCAGAACACATGTCTGGTGCATCTAGACATCTCACAAGCAACCCTAGTTCTTCATCCGTAAATCACATCTTCGTAGTATTTACGAGGGACACAAAATCGCCACCACAATGGAATTCAACAAAAAGAAAAAAAGCCAGCGATTTACTCAAACCTTGAAATTTTCTTAACTCCCACAACTTTTTTTTGGGCTCAAATGCCGCCATAATCGTCATCATGAGCTCACGCCCCCCAATAGTAATACTCATACAGCGCACATGCATCTACCGAGGGGAAATTCGTCAAGTGAAATGGCCAGTTTCTGGGGCGTGCAAAGGAACTGCGAGCCAGACGTGGCTTGGGTCTGCTGGCCAAAAGGCGTCCCTTTTCGGCTGGTGCCTTGATGAGGACACGCCGCCTGCTGCAGGGCGGGATTGGTTGGATGGACCGGGGCGTGGCTGCGCTGGTGTGGGAGAAGATTGGAAGGAGGGGGACGAGGTGAGGAGGCCATGGATGGTTAGGGGATTTTTTTTTTTTTTGATTTTTTTTTTTTTTTTTTTTTTTGAAATTAAGTGCAAATTCATCCTGTCCGCGGTGCTCTGCTGCACTTGCGAATGGGAATGGAAATGCACGCGGGTTGAATTGCGTTGTTTGATGGAATTGGCGTACGGATAATTCTTCTCATGTACATGTTAGTTGGGGCATGGTGGGCAATAGCTTCCCTGCAGCTTGCATGACTGTATGTACCCTCATGAGCAACTTGGAGAAGAAAAAAAAAATCAAAGGCCAAAGACGCTCGCCCTGCAACTGCCGTGGTGTGCCTGGTTTCACCTCCTTCTATGGCTTTGTTCGAAACAGAGTGCATAGCGCACATCCAAGCTAAGCGCATATCCAGGCTCTGCGCCGTCTGTTTCCAGCACATCCAGGGCTGAAACTCGCACAATGCCATTGGTGGCTGGCCTCAACTGTATTCATGCGAGACTGGGTTGAAGATTTATTATGCCGCCCTCGGCGGTTGTGGTGCTGGTCGTGACCTGACGGAGGGCAACACGGCGGTTCAAGTGCGAGGGAAGAGTCAATGCACGAGGCAAAGTCGAGATTTGACTTTGCAAAAAAAATAAAAAAAATAAAAAATACGCATGCAAGCATTGCTGGCCGCTGATAATATCGGCACAGCAGGATCAAGCGTGGCGGCACAATTCGTGTGCATAAATTCGCAATTCATAACTGGGTACGGACTACGGACTACGGAGTATATATATCTCATTTCGGCCTTGGGCCAAACCACCTCACGAGATGGTGCGAGCTGCCGGTCCTTTGGATGCCCTCACGAACATCCCTCCCCTTCAAGGACGACGTTCCTGACTACGCACAAGGCCTGGAACGGAACCGACTCGATTGCACACGCCCATCGGACGGAGAACTAGCCCGGCACACTCTGGCAAGTCGGAGCTCTTTCCCACCCGGCAGCAGCGAGCATCACCACTCCTTTGAGAAGTGCTGCATGAACGAGGCCATCCCTGCAATACCGTGTTGGCAGCTCTTTTGCTTGCAGGCGTCTCTCTTTCATACTGGTTATTTTGGAACCAGACCCAATTGTGTGGCCTTCTTCTTTTATGTTTTTGTATCCCTTCGTGTCTACCCCCCCTTCCCACCCTTTTTTTTTTTTTTTTGTTGATGAAGCAATTTCGCCAATTCCCTCTTTGTGTCGGTAAAAGCACCTCTTCCCGTTTCCAGATCTTGTCCTTTGTTAAATGGCCGCCTGACCATCGGCGGGACCGTACTAGCGGCTATCCACAAAACAAGACAGAATCCATTTTTACGAATCTCGATCCTCGAGAAGCTCTAATTTGGGGTTATGCCCGGGGGACGCACGGGGCCGGATCGAAAGCTCCCTTTAAGTGAAGGGGTGCAACCCACGCCGGAGCCTTTGTTGAGGGCTTTTTTTTCTTGTTTTGGTAACCCTTGGTCTTGCGATGGTGAATGAGCCGCCATTGTAGTGTGTATCGGCCGAGTGGGTGGCATCGGAGCTGAAGAGATTGACGGGGAGGAGATTTTTTTTCTTAATTTTTCTTCCAGGGTCACGAGGGCTTTGGGGTTTCGTGCTGTTTTGGATACAACTTAGTCTGCAAGTTGCGGCTAAGCGACTCGGAGTTTTGAGTATGGTGTCTGATGGGCGTACGGACTATACCAAGCACCAATTGGTGAGGCGACACCCTCCAGCTGGAGACTTTTCTGCTTTTGACTACTTACTTCTTCTCCCATGATACTGCAACACGAGGTGTTCCGACCGCTTCCCGAGCAGGGTCCTCACACTTGAGAGTTGACTCGACTACGTGTGTCTTGCACCAGAGTCTCGGCGTCTACTAGCGTTTTGCGATAAAGACTTGCGCATTCCCGATCTACTAGTCTTTGAAATTGCCATGAAATTTACTGTAAAAAAAAGAGAGAGCAATAGTTGAATATCGTTTCATACAAGGGGGATAGAGAATAACCCCCAGCCTTGAGAACAGGCAACGGCAATGGGTTGGGCAAGCGCAGGACAAGTTTAGATGAGTACTGCCGAAACCTTGAAATGAAAACATGGGTCGGACTAGATACGGGTTGTAATAGTATAGCCGCGCCTGGGGACTGAGGTAACCAAAGATTAAGGGTAGTACGCCAAGAGACCCAGCCAATATAAGACACTGACTGGAGGGACAACCCGGGAGTGTTGGTGTCTTGGGTTGGGTAGTGAGGCCGTCTCTTTGCTTGGTCCGTTTACAGATAATTCGTGCGCTCCGGTGGGAAATATCCCTTATTTATGGGGGACTAGTACCATCTTCTTTACACCATATCCCGACATTGATGAGAATCTTCATGCAGGTGCAAATTTCAGATGAGACTTTGTTAACAGAAACAAAATCAACACGGCACATTCAGGGGCTGAATCGACATGGACAGCGGTGATTGTATAAGAAGAGGCTACCAGTAAAAGCAGGGCAGCCAAGTAACTGCAGACTCTCCGGTAGAGTGGTTTCATTGACAGTCATGTACTTTGATTCCATCCGACGCTTCAGACGCTTTAGATGCCTCGCGCTCTACGCTCGATACATTGATAGCAACAACAGCAACAGCAGCGGACCCAAACAAGCACCCCGTCATCAGAAAAGGCAGTCCGATCCATGCACCGTCCATGTCCATGCCTAGTCTAAACGATGCCGCGAGGAGAGGTCCTGCGACAATCGACCCCATGCTCTCGAAGACACTCATTATAGTATACATGGTATTGACGTGACGCTTGTCAACAATTGACGCGAGTAAGCTCCGGAGAAGGGGGGGGTAGCCATTCCCAAGGCAAACAGCGCAAGGCCAACAGCCATCAAGCCGACTGTTTCCGACAAGCCCATGGTGAATGCGCCCAAGGTGGACATGGATACGCTGATGCGTGCCAGCCAAAGGGTTCTGCTTTGGGTAGCCAGTGTTGTTTTGCGGGCGAGGGCTTGGCTAGCCACGGGGAGAATGACCGTGAGGAGCGTGAGAGTAAAGAATGCATGGAGAGAGAGCACGAGGCCAGCCTGCCGTAGGTTAATAAAACCAAATCAGGAGCGACCCCTGGTGCCCCAAACATGCAAAACACACAAGTGGCATGGCGAAATCGAAATGCTCACCTCGGACCACGACCACCCGTATCGTTTCGTAATATACTGAAGAATAATCTCTTGCGCCAGGCGGCCAAGGCTCGTGACGAGAAAGGTGAGAAGCAACACGACAACGAGGACATTACCTCGCGCAAACCACACCGCGGCTTTTGCCACCCCCATCAGCCGGTGATAGCGAGCCGGCTGCGCCTGGGCCCGACTCTCCTGGGCCTCTTCGGTCTTGACGTGCTCCAGGGCCGGGCTCGAAGCAAGCATCATCCGGGGGATGGAAAAGGCCACGGCAGTCGCCAGCCAGAGACACCCCAGGCCGCAGTACACGGGAAGCCAAGTATCGACGTTGATGAGGACGTACACCAAAGGACTGGCGACCAGTTGGCTCCCGAGGACCGCGGCGGCAATGTACAAGAAAACAACCGATCTACAGAGATTAGCCGCACCCTTGTTATCGAGCATTTACTCCGTATAGCTGTACCTTTTCCTCTCGCTCACAACGCCGCTGACAATCGCAAAGGTAACGGCGTTAAAGACGGGCGCGCCGCCGCCAACCAAGGCAAACGCAGATCCCAGCCAGACCAGACGCGGAGAAAAGACGGACGGCAGCGAGCCTGGCAGAGTTGTTTATTTTCGAAATTCAAGAAGTGACAAGTAAAGTAGGAAATACGAGACGCACAAACAAGAACGGTGAAGCTGCCGGCCATGGCGCCCCCCAGCACGGACAGGCCGAGGACAAGCTCTCTCCCGTACGCGTCTGCCATGATGCCGTACGGCACGGCGGTGACGAGGCCGGGGATCGTGTCGAAAGTGACCTGCCACCCGCGGATAAAGGACAGCTCCGACTGGACCGTCGTGTCCTTGCAGCGGGCGTCACTGGGCCCCGGTGCGGCGGGTGAGACATTGTGGCAGATGATGCCCTCGAGGACCTGGTTCATCGGAATGGCGATGAGGTACAGGCCAACCTCGAGGAGGATGTTGAGTGCGAAGCAGGCCGTGACGGCGCTCGAGGGGCGAAACGCAGACTTGCTGCCGTGAGGAGCTTGAGCTTGAGCGTCGTCATTGTTGCTGTGGGAGTCTGTTTTTATTAGAGGCTGCTGCTCATTGTCGGTCAAGTCGGCGCTGCGCCTGATATCCGGCGGCGCGAGCCGGTCGTCGAGTCGTGCCATGGTTGGCGATGGGTGCTCCGGGGTTTGCGAAATGGTCCCCTGCGGAAGGCATCGAGTTTGCAACGTGCACTCTTGTTTTCGGAATATGTCGTCTTTGCCTCTGTACAGGTATTTGGCTGCACATGGGTAAAAGGGAACGCCTGGAGCTGCAGCAAGATATACCATCTGGCGAATGTAATCTTTTGCCATGGACGCAGAGGGCCTCGGGCCGACAGAGACTGGCAAACCCGGCTGGCTGGCAGACGACCGGTCATCAATGGCCAGAGACACAAGTTACAAACATCGCCCTCTCTGTGTCTGAGGTCCAAAGTACCATGCAGGGTGCTCCTTTTGGAACGCCATCTGATGGGATTGGGAACCCGGTGTGCGCTTCATGGTTGCTACATGCAAGGCAGCAGGCGAATCGACGTCTGGCGGTGTGATTGCTTGGGAAACCGGGCGTTTTCCCTCACAGACACATTGTAGTAAGAATCAGCCCCAAGTCAGTCACGGACTCATGGCTACGAGACATATTACTACTATTGACTCTACACCTTTCGCAGAACAAGACTCTAGTATGTGTAGCAAAGCTGGCGTCCCTCGGTGCTCATCACCTCGCGGACGGGCAGGTCGTTTGTGAACCCGCCGTACATCAAGACATCGCCATCGCTCGCAGGCCCCGTCGAGTTATACATGTGCCGTCCCGAGTATTCAAACAGCCTGACGCTGGGGTTTTCGCGCTGCCACCGCCACCACAGACGATCCAGGTTGGCGTGATGCAAGAAGAAGAGGGGGTCTCGACGAATTAGTTACCGTGGCCAAGGGGGACGAAGAGGACGAGGACGAACCGTTCGCGGCAGTCATGGCCTTGAAGTCTCCGTTGATGGACGTGTGCAGCGTGTTGTGCAGGTCCCTTTCCACCCGCTGCAGAAAGTCGGTGTAGTTTTCCAGCCGCAGGATGCTCCCGACATTCTCGGGACTGAACTTCTCCCCAGAGAGGCGGCCCTTGATGTCGCCGTCGCGGAAGCCTCGTGATAGGCAGTGCACCTTGCGCGTGTGGTTGTAAATAACCGGCCGCAACTCTGTAAACGGCCCGTCAGTCACGCACCGGCCCTCGCCCACCGTCTCGGGTCCGTCCTTGTCGCCGTCGCCGCCGAACCCCGTGGCGTGGTCCCAGATGGATGAGTTGGCCAGATTCATCCAGTCGAGAGACCAGTCCCAGTATCTAGCACAGCATCAGCCTCTTACGTCGTCACTGGTGAGTGCCAGGGGAGCAGGCAGGCCACGTACGGCATCGAACCCCGGTAGTGACAGCGGTCTTTGAGTATCTTCTCAATAACCGCCAGTATGTTTCTGTGCCACGGCAGAAAACACGCCGATCTGTGGCCTGGGATTACTGGAAATGAGTTGTTTTGCTCGCTGAATAATACGGGTGGTGCGTTTTTCGGATCGACGAGCGGCGTGACTTACACCAAGACCCGATCCCTCCGTGCAGCACGGCGATATCATCGTAAATCGTCAGGTTGCCATCCCGCGCAGATGGCGTCTTGCTTATACAATGAATGGCGCGGATAAAGTCATGCTTCTCTGCGAGGGTGAGAGCTCTCCATTCTCGCCGGATGGGCGGGCTTGTACAGACGGCCTGCTTGGCCGGGCGCTCTTCGATCGGGGCCAATACGACCCAAACAACGAAGCCAAGGGACACGATGGCAGAAAGACACAAGAAAAATGGTCTCAGACGAGCCCGCAAGCTAGAATCCACCGTTAGGGCTGCGTGAACCATTTGGATGCAGGGCTCAAGTAAGACTGTTTCTCACTTTGCGACGAAGCTTGTGTGTGCAGAGACCTTGACGCTTTGGCTCTCAGAGTCTGAATTCCCAAGAGCAGTATAATTCGGCTCCGGTCCCGACGATGGTAGCCTCATGGTTGACGCCTAGGCATTTCATACGAGTCGACGACTCCCTCTCCATCTAGTTGTTTACTGACTCTCCCGCACGCCGCGCTCCGTGTGTCCTTGATGTACCGAATTCACGACTCGAACTCCCTCCTCCCATCTGCTCCACACCAAGGCTGGCGCTTTTCGGTGCCCGGAGCCAACCGTTTGGCACAATCTTGCCGCTTCGGGACGAAATGCGCCAGATGTCTGCGGGCTCTCATGCAGCCCATCTTGGGAGCGGGAGCGCCTTGCCGCTTGGGGACCTTTCTGCGCCAAACTTTTGACGCAGCCTTCCCCTCGATGAATGAAGCGAGACAGATTCAACCACAGTCTTGGCCGGAGAGATGCTCAAACCTTGGCGCGCGGCTGGTGTCGCATCGACACAAGAGCCGTTCAGAAACATGGCTGCTGCGGCCGCGGCCCATGCCGTCGCAGGGTCCATGTAGTTCTCCGCCGTGAAGAAGAGACGGCAGTCGGCCGGCTCGTACAGGAATTGGAGCGGTGTCGAGTCGTCTCCTGCGCTGTACGCGTTGCGGATGTTGATGCCACTTTGCTCGTATGTGTCGAGACGGAGTGGCAAGTCTCGTAGCGGAAGCGGCGCCAGCTCGTTGAATCTCTGCATTTCTGCCCGCGAGAGGATTGGAGAATCTGTCTGCAGAGCCGCGAGAGCCAGGTGGCGCGCGCGCTCAACGTACTCGCTGATGGTCTCCAAAGCCCAGTATTGAGCTCCCCTGACGCCGCCAACGGCCTGCATCAGCCCGTGGCGAGGTCTTCCCCCAAAGACGATGCTTCTCACGCCCTGTTCCTTGAGCAGATGGGCGACAACGGAACATGTAGACGCACACTGGCCGTCCGTCATCTGTTTAGGTAAAAAAAGAGAAGCATTAGCCATGGCCAAAACCAGCGCTCCGTCGGGCATCGGGTCCCGTACCAAGATGATATTATTGGCAGGAAATAACTGCACTTCTGGAAACAGCGGGATGTCGCCGTAGCCACTGATGGGATCGCTCGAGGTAGAGCCGAGGTTGAAATCAAAGACACCGGACATACTAGACATTTGGTCCCCCATAATCTCGTGCGGCCCGTAAACGTCTCCCCAAGAGCCCATCTTTGTCGTTCCGTCGACGCCCACCGCAAGCGGCGCGACAAATGGGAGATCCAGCGTGACGTTTTCCTGTTTGTGTGTTTCTGAGAAGATGCGCCCCATGAAGTCGATGAGCTCGGCCGCTCGGAATCTAGTGGCAGAGTATATCGGCTTGTCCGGGAACAAGACTCGGAATAGGTTGAACCCTGCGGCAACGTCTCCGCCAAGATTACCCGACATGTCCAGAATAAGCTTCCTCTTGCCATCTGCCGCGGCCTGCGTCACAAACCGGGCCACGACAGAGGCAAAGCGGGTGGCGTTTTGACCAACACGAAAGTCGGATACCTGAAGAACGGCAACATCTTCACAGCCCGCGCCATCTAGATAGTAACCGCGAGCGCGATCACGCTGCTCACCAACGATTGGATCTGGAAATACTGAGGCACCGCTTGGAGGAGCCTCTAGTTGCGGAGAGATGCCGTAGGTACCTCCATATGACCCAAAAGCAGAACCGGAGTCTGGATGCGGGACGCACGCTGCTTCAAACAGTGACTTGCCATCAGGATAGTCCATTGGGCCATTTGAATGTGACCAGGACGCCGTAGTCTTGACAGTGACGGTCGTTCCGTTGGAAAATAGCAGGCGATTCGAAGCGCCAGGCCACAAACCCAGCAATGACGTCCACGCGCCCCCCGAGTATTTGCCAGAGAAGTTGGCAGAAGGAGACGCAAATAGATGATTATACCTGCCGCCATGTCAGTGCCTTCTTGACCCCCTTTTATGAGCAAGAGCAGCCACCCAACTAACCGGGCATCCGGGTCCTGGTAGCCAAGCCTGATGGCATAATTGGCCTCGAGGAAGTAAGCAGCTTCGACGCCGTTGATTTCTACAAGAGGCGAAATCCCAGGGAAGCCAGCAAGCTTGAGCTTAGCATCCCCTTGATGGTGGAGTTAGTCTCGTCTTGTATCATCATCAGTTACCCAAGGCAGAGCATACGGAAAGTGAATATACTGGGAAGCTCTAGTCCATCCGTAGATAGAGAGACGAGGGGCGGTGCGTGCTCAAAGTGCATAATGCGCTGGGAACAGAGCGACAAGGTGAGATGGCCATCGTTTGCCTTGGATATGGATCTGCCCAGATCCCATTCAAAGTCAAACTGCGACGAGTAAAGCCCGTTGACTACTTTTTGCCTGATATTTTCAAGGTGAGCAACGAGGTCGACATGTGCCGACATGTAGCTGGGGGGAGCATCTACAAGTTGAAAAACAAAATTAAAATTAAAGTTTTATTTTTTTCGACTAGTGGTCATTATACGCCCGACTTACGTTTGAGTATGTGAATTGTAGAGTGAAACTGGAGGTATTTTTCATATTCCTTCAAGAACTGCAACGCCAGCTGGGGATGAAAGGGCATCGATCGGAGACACTCCTGCGCTGTGCTTCCTGGAATACCTGCAAAGGTGCCCGTGCCGCCTCTAGCAACCCAGGATTGGTACGAGGATGAAATGTTTGCGCAAGCTGTCTGCAACTTGCCACCCGTGTCCAGTGTCGCCGTCGCCGTCGCCGCCAGGATGAGAATTGCAAATGCCAGCATGTTGGCGTGAACGGTTTTGACAACTCTGCCAAAAGTGGGGGCCTCAAGTGCTCCTACAGAGTGCAAGTATTTTGGTCGGTCTTGCCTCTTCTTCACATTCCTTTACAACATGAACAAACACCAACCTCACGATGCGTGGGTTCGGCATTGTACCAACACTTTGCCCTCACTGGCATGATCAGTCAGAGGCCGCCAAGAAGATGTTGTTTTTTTTCCATCCATGGGCGCCAATTCACTACACCAGGCGCGCATGTAGATGCATAGGCGCCGCACCACATTGGCGCTCAACTCATGCGGCATGTTGATGACTGATCTGGCGACAACACTCTCACGCGGCATATATGTCCAACCCGTCACATTACTGCGGCTTCATGTGCTGTGAGATGGCTACAGTCCTTTCCAACGGCATCTACGCCAACCATGGACAAGTATAGTGACCAGCGCAGCTCTACCGCCAACGACTCCGACGTCCACTCCGTCTCGTTGGAGAAGGAAGGTCTTTTGGACGGGCCTTCAATACACGAATCCAAACAACCCAGGATGCGGTCACACTCCCGCGTGTACCTCCTTTTGGCTGCCATCATGGCCGTTGCGAACGTGGTCCTGGGTGCGCTTCTCGTTGCCCAGTTTCGAAGCAGCCAGCAGAAGGCGCATTCTCACCGCCACGACCATCATGAGAAGAAGCCTACTCCGGTTCCAATCGGGGGTCTGCCGCAGGTGAATTCGCACCCAGATTGGCTGCCCCCGGAGGAGTGGCGCACCGAGATATTTCGACTCCATGAAATCTACGGAGAGGAACCAGTTGGCACGGCAAAAGAGGCATGGCTGTCGCTGATTCCAAGTGAGTAAACGCCGCGCTCGTGATAATTTCTCCTTTCAAAATTCTTGCCTAACGAGGGTTCCCTGTACAGAAGGCAAAGGATTCATCGTGGTCAAGAACGACACCGAGCTCCCCAATATGCCGGGCCTTCGCCACCCAGAGCACGAACAACATGCGTGCGTGGCGATATTTCACCAATTGCACTGCCTGGTACGTGAATCTCAGACAATGACCATTCCTGCCTGGCCTCCCCTCCCCCCCTCTTGAAAGAAGCTTTGTGAGCTTGGTCTGACGTGAATCTTTGCCGCCGCCGCACAGTACATCACCTACGCGGCGTACTGGAACGCCCGCGCCGGCAACTTTGACGACATCCCGCCGGAGCATCTCATACACTGCTGGGACTACCTCCGACAGAGCATAATGTGCGCGGGAGACACGTCCTTGGAATGGGTGCATAGGCTGGACAGTCCCCCGGGAGAGACGTCGGGATGGGGCTTCCAGCACACGTGTAAGAACTTTGATGCCATCTTCGACTGGGCAGAGTCGCATAGGTACACTGAGACGGTGGAGATTGACTGACCAGCGTCTTGGGCGAGTCATGCAAGGTGTAGCTAGTTTGGAAGAAATGTACCAAATGCAAATCACTAAACATTCTGCATTGTGTTTGCTTGCGTAGGACCATTATTCATCCGTTGGGGGGGTTCATGTAGAATGTCTAAAATTCACCTACTTGTACCCCCCTTTACCTCGAAAATAACAAGAAAAAGCAGAACATTGATGAGCAATATCTTGATTATTCTCGACTACTTGTACCACTTGTCAAGGCTGTTTGGGGGCTAGATTGTGCTCATCACCGAGGTAGAACGTGCTATGTACGCAAGGTTACATTTCAGGAAAAGATCAAGGTGAGCGGTATTCGGCTCTGGAGCTCAACGCCAACGCGGAAGAAGGGCGGTTTCTTGTTTAAACCTACAGACTGTTGGGCACATAATTGGTGTGGCTATCCGGGTCCGGGTCACACAGGCATAACAACTTGGTCAACATGGCTCAGACATGACAACATTCATTCATCGTTTACACTTGATTCTCGTACGGAGCAGTCTTGGGGTAACTACTGAAGACTCCCGTCTAGGCGGGCCTCGTGCAACGCACTCGTGCTTAATCGGCGCCGATGAAGTAGTCCTCGACGGTCTTGTCCCGTTTATCGGCTCCGATGAAATAATCTTCAACCGTCTTGTCTCGCTTGTCGGCTCCGATGAAATAGTCCTCGACGGTCTTGTCTCGCTTGTCAGCTCCGATGAAGTAATCTTCAACCGTCTTGTCCCGTTTATCAGCTCCAATAAAGTAGTCCTCGACAGTCTTGTCCCGTTTATCAGCTCCAATGAAATAATCCTCAACAGTCTTGTCACGCTTGTCAGCTCCAATGAAATAATCCTCAACAGTCTTGTCCCGTTTATCCGCCCCAATAAAGTAGTCCTCAACCGTCTTCCCCTAAAACACCAGCATTAGACTCAACATCAATCTCAAGCATCGACTCAACTCACTGGAGTTGGAGCTGCGGCAGCACCGACAGCGACGGCCGTCACGACAATGGCAGTGGAGAACTTCATGGTGAGAGTGTATTTGCCTCGCTTTCTTAGGGTTTATGATTCGGCCGACGTCGATTGTGTAGCGAGAAATATTCCCGCCAGGCCGTGTGCTGTTATATTCGCAAAGCTCTTCATCTCGGAACAGACCTCGCTTTGTCACCCGTGTCGTATCGGGCGCTCATCCCGGAAACCATCTCCCCGGCGAGGAGAAGCTCGCGGCGCGCAAAGCGATGCCATTGGAGGCGCTTAGCCCCATGACAAGACTTGATTGACGGCGCTATCATGAATCAAGTCTTGCCTGGTACCTGTCTTGGGTGAAATGGCGCGGCTGCCTCATCGGGAAATGGCGAGGCGCCTCACGACTTTTTTTCTTCTTTGGTTCCGGGACGCCTCGGGTCGCGCCTCGGCTGCAATCACATCTGGCGCTGGTTCCTCGTTTCGAGAAGATGCCACATTATCATGGTTCTGTATGTTGATCTGCAGGAGTCTGGTCTGGTATGTCGCGACGAGTCCAAATAGGCATGTTGTTTGAGCAGGGCATTTGTAGTGCTCCCAAGGGCAAAACCATGAGCAGGGAAAAGCAGCACCTTCAGATTACACTACCATTGTCAGAATACATTTGACTACACAGTATTCATCCGATTTAATTTAACCAAGTCTGCGTCTGCGAGAATAATGGCATTGGCTTGAGTTCTGTCTCGTGTCTCTTATCATTCTTCAGAGTCCAGACGTGTCTTTGGCTTCTGTGCCTGACGAGCTCTTCGTCAGGCATTCATACAAACAAAATGTTCAAATTGGCTCTTTTGTGAATATCCCTCCAATCGCAAGTGACGCAATGGTTCGAGCCGTGCTTGTCCGTCTCCTTCCAGCACTCCTCTACCCCGTGGCTGAACTCGCAAAGACTGCCCGTGTCGACGTCAACATGTGACATGCGAGCCACGACATTTCGAAAGACGTCTCGCTGGGAGCCTGATGCGAGGCTGGCGCTGGTGCTGTAAGCCCATGCCAAATACCTCGGGTTTGCTGTGGCAGGGAGCATATCCCACGCCTGCATCGCGCGGCCGATGCTCTGGTGAATCTCGGGGACCCCGGTCAGGGCCCCGGACACGACCGTGTTGAGAAAAATGAGGATAGCATGGCCATATATCAGGGTCTGAATGAGGTCATGAGGAACAACAGCCTTGTCTTGGGGCTCGTCTGGGGACTGGGGCAACATCATGTTGGATATCCTCGCCATTTCTCGGTCCACAGCCCCTTCAATGGTATCTGCCTGGCTTACGAGCCCGCGAATGCTAAGGTTACCCTGCGCCTCTTGCTCGCTCTTCTGGATCTCTAGTGACGTGATGTCCATGATGGCAACCATGGCCCACGCCTCGCAGCCGGTGATGGCCTGAAAAGCCGAGGAGAATCCGTCGTCTGTCAGGAGCTTTCGGTGCATGCCGGCCGCGCAAGCCATCTTCTTTTCCACCGCACTACACAGTATGTCACTCCAGATGAAGACGGAAACGAAGAGAGCCTCGGCTTCCAGTTCCATGCGAGAGGGCTGTGGGATAGGCGCAGAGAGTGCCAGCTCAGCGCACCAAGGCGACAGCTCAGGAGTTGTGTAGTGAGTCGGCGCCTCCTTTGGCTGTCCCAGATGGCATGCCAGGCCCGCGTGGAACAAGCATCCCTGTTCAAGAATGACTTGTGTCACGCGCCCAAGATATGACTGGCAACTTCGAATGTTCTTGCCCAGCGCCTGGCGAGTGCGTGTTAGCAACCTTTATGCCGACGTGCTGGAACTCAATATTCTATCCCCACCTCCAAACGAGCGATATGGACACCGCATATAATCATCTCTCTTTGAGTAGAGGAAGCTGTAGACTCCAGTCTCTCGAAGCTTTGGAGGGCCATTTCTCGATACCTTTGGTAGCTTCTCAGGGCCGTTTCTCGGGCGTTAGCATCACACGACTTACTCAAATGCAAATGGTATGCGCTCATGCTCAGGGACGTGTTGTAAAACGTTGGGGAGCGAAGCATCAGGGCCAGCAGCCAGGACTTTTGCGTCCTTGAAGGTTCTGCCTGATGCAACGAGTACTGCCGGGTAAAGCTGTCCTCCATAAAATTCACGAGCAGGTAGATGTCGTTTTCAGAGGTCTCGATCCCCAGATGGCCTGGTTTCGTCAGAGGTAAGAATCCGACTAACCCAATATCCAAGTTATCATCAGATGCCGGAGACAGAGGCGTCATCAAGTCGTCAAACGTATCATGACCGACTTCGCCGGGCCAGAGGCCGTCTAGGAGAAGCGGCGGATCTGGCGGCCCCGGCGTCGGTTGAGATTCACCCGGTGAATCAAAAGTGCTTACATGCTGCGACTGGTTGAGTGGCAAGAACGCATCTGTCTGCGTTGGCTCGTGAGAGCTTGTACATAACTCGGAAGAGCTGACGGTCAGTGTGTCCCTGACAGATGAAGCCATCAAGACATCCTGAATCACCATCTCCCCGACAGAAGATGCTGACATAGCCCGGGACGTCCTGGGCTGCATTCGAAGTTTCCTGGCCTCTGCTTTCTCCTTGTCTCCTCGGTCTTTCCAAGCTGGCTTCGGGCCGTAACCGTGGCACACGATTCCGCATCCTCGGCACCGGGAACACGGCGGTCCGTCCTCGCTACACTTTTTCCTTCTGAGCCGACAGGTCCAGCAACCGCTTTTACTGCGCTGTAATGTGGTCATTACCAATTGCTAGCAAGGTTCGTGCTGGGAGGCCCGGACAGCTTGGGAAAATGAAAGGGGGGGAAGGGGCCAAAATAGCAGACATCATACACTTGAGGGGCCATCATAGATTGCGAGGCACAAAGCATGAGACGGGATTCTGAAGCACATTATGAAGAGCAGACGGACTTGAGGGGGGATTCTGTAGCTGGATAGGAGTCGTCATTCGGTCGAGGCTCGACAATGCAAAGCGGCCAGCCACATGCGGGGGATACAGCAAACGGCTGCAATAATAGATAGTGCAATCGCATTAATACATGTCTGTTAATTACCGGTCAATGCCGTCTCAGTGACTAGTAGTATTTCTAAACCGAATTGAAAGCCGGGTGCATGCTCTCAACTGACGATCCGCACATGGGGCGCATCATGAATTACAAGCGATCTGCTTGGTCTCACCGGTTCCTAGCTGCATATGCATGGCATCTTGACAGTGTCATACCGTTACATTGTAAGAAGATGCTTTCCAATTCTGAAGAATGTGGCGCCTCTTGCATCCAGAGGGATAAGAGAGAGAGCGTATCGTGTGTGCAGTAGGCGGGTAAAGTCTAGATCCGCGACAGGCACACCGCCTCGGAATCGAATGTTCAGCTGCCATTTCTCCCCAGAGCGGATATCATTTGCCCCTAATGATACCTAAGGACCTAATGCTGAGCCAGGTCTTGTCTGCACGCTGCCATAAAGGGTTTCTCTGTCTTGGATGTACCTGTTCGTGCTGCTGTGTTGGTGGAACGCTGACTCTGAAGGCATCTCGTGTGCTGTAAACAAAGTATTAGGAAGCCAAGCCATTTGCTGCCAAAGTGACTTCTGCCAGGAAGCTCTTTTTCAGAACCTTTCAACATACCAAGAAACACGACTCTTTCAAATGACTGTCTTTCCGAGCCCTTCCTACCAGAATCAGGGGGGTAGGGATGGCATTTGGCTGCCCGGCGCTCCTCACAAATTGACACACTGGCTCCAAAATTTCATCAAAGTTGTGGATAGCAGAAGCAATGACGCTGCTCTCCACCCTGCTGTCCAAGATCTCAAAGATCTCGTGGAAAGCACGCCCAGCCTCCGTATGTGGGCGTCGGCCATGTTCGACGAGATCCCCAACAAGATTCCCTACAATAAGAGCCCGGTCGATCACAAGCTCGTTCGAGGCTATCAACACATGTTTGAGTTATTCAGTGTCATCGTCGCGGAAATTGCTCCGACCTGGAGCATGGCCGAAGGAGGACACGGGCTTGTTGGGCTCCCATTCCAAGCCATTTTGGACTGGCCTATGGGAACACCAAGCGGGCATGCCTTCTTCTTGAGCCAAGATGTGAATAAAAAGTTCAAAGTCATACTAGACACGTGGAGAGACGGTGTTTTGAAGACAAGCAAGTCCCAGCACGTCATTACGACTGGCGATGGGGGCTGGCTGTGCAAAGAGGCGCTCACGGCCTTTGAGAAGGACGCCAATTTGAACAGTCAGCAATGGCACACATTCCAGGACTTGTTCCGATGTGATCCAAAGGAAGACCCGGTTCACTGGGGCTATAAATCATGGGACGACTTTTTTGTGAGGCAGTTCAAGGATATTGATAAGCTACGCCCTATTGCGTACCCAAACAAGCCCGAGTGGGTGGTGAATGCTTGTGAATCCAGGCCGATCCTGGTAAAATCTAACGTGAAGGAATATGACAGATTCTGGCTGAAGGGCCAGAACTATTCGGTCAAAGAAATGCTGAATCATAGCCACTTGGCAGGCGAGTTTGTCGGCGGTACGGCGTATCAAGCTCTCTTGATGCTAACGTCATATCATCGATGGGCTTCTCCAGTGTCCGGGCATGTCGTACATGCCGAGATTGTTAATGGAACTTACTTCTCAGAGCGGCAAACCAATGGACTTTTTAGCAGCCCGGTAGGACCGCCCGAGTATAACCAAGTCTATATGAGTCACGTCGCCACGCGGGCCATCATCTATATCAAGGCACCAGACCCGGTCGGTTTAATGTGCCTGATAGCTATTGGGACCGCGGATGTATCGACATGTGAGATTGCCAGCAAGTTTGCAACCGCTTGGCCGCAACCCGTGAGGAAGGGGGAGGAGATCGGCATGTTTCACTATGGAGGCTCGAGCCTGTGTCTGCTTTTCCGGAGGGGAGTAAGACTGGCATGGGTCGATGCGGCGATTCCCAGCAATTCGGAACAGAATCTTCCAGTTCGCGGTGCGCTCGCAGTTGCTTATAGCAGGACAGTGATGTAAAGACAGTATTCGATAGTTGTTCCAGCGTATGCCTCGAAAA